TTTGAGGCTAGTCCTCGTATTTACGCAAAATCAGGCATTCAGCCTACAAATTTACAGAATTTTTAATAACTTGTACTGGAAAGGTAGGAATGTCCAAAATCTGAACATTACTTAGAATCAGCTATTAGCGACATACTATACAAAATCAAGAATCAAATCTCAGTAAATGAATGGATAAGCAGAATCTTTTTCGAAATGTTTTCCACACCACTTTGTAAAAAAATTATAGGGATATGAAAATCTAAAAATTGGTGAAACCTCAAATATTTTCTGTGGGCGTGTTGACCTATCATACCTTCTCCCTCCCAAGTTTCTGGGACAGCCACTGCTGAGTACCCAATTTCAGGGTTTCTCGCAACTCTCTTTTTCTATCACGAGACATCAATGGTAATACAAATCGAATCTTACTTTCGGGATCAGGAGTTTGGAAAGGTATCTTCTTGAGCGGCATTCTCTCCAAACTGTCGTCATAATAAGAGGGTGGAGGTCTGTCTGCTTCTTCAAAGAAGATCTTCTTTTTCTCCGTGGTATCCATGCTAAAACAGTGTTGAGATTACGATCGATATTTGATCGATTGAATGTGAAAGCGAAAAGCGTGAGCTGGAAAGAGTCGGAAGTGCATTAAACTGCTGAGCCGCGGCTGGTCGAGAAAGCTAGCCGAATGCTTCGCTGCGAACGCTTTACACTGTCGCACATCACAGCTCGTAATTATTTACACATGCGGTCGGGACAACTGGCACTCCAATCTGGATCAATCTACTCCGTGTCCTGAGCCGAATTCGTGCAAAATAGAGACCTTTTGGCCATTACAACAATCACATATCGGCAAGATTTACAAAACAGCAACTGAGGCTGATAATTGGAAGAAGAAATCGCAGGAAGGATAAATCCACAAGCAGCGATAATGATCATATTTGACCAATGACTAATAAGCAATACTAATTCTGTCGCTTTGATATATCGAAAGTACAGCGAAATCGATATCTTGCAAATAGTCGAGCGAAACACATACCCTAGCACGCTCAAAAACAGATGAATCAAGCTTCACAGTCAGGATTGGCACTATTGACATTCGCACCTGATGTCTTTTTCAGAAAATAGAAAGGGTATTGTATATACATTTGAACATGATGCGTGCTCATAGGTATTTAGCAACTTTATATACAAGTCGAGTCCATCACTCGCATGCTGTTGTGCAGTTATTTAAAACTGTGCAATGATTAAGAATGCCTTCTTAAACATATGGCACCAAATTTGGTTTGTAGGAGTGAAAAACCTAGATGAGGATACTGTAAGTTATGATGCTGTACATACATTCAAAACGTTCGTCGTGATCTTCGTGCAAACCGAAGAATTTGTTGTATCTGCAATTGTCATTATTTGATATGCTAACTGGTATTTTTTCAACACTTTGGTGAATTGGAAACATGGTCGAAAGTAGGGGATAGAGCATATGGAGCTCTCAACATTTGATTCGAGACGGCCATTCTGCACCGCTAGGCTTGGCAGGGTAAATATTGCGCGCCTCTGATTGGTCGGCGCCGCCGCGGCGATTGGGTAAGCAAGACCGGCGGACAGGTGCTCCATTAGACAAGTTACATAAAAGCAATCTCTTTCAAAAAATAATCAAAGAAGATTTTGAGTTCTACATAGAACCAAAAAACTCACACGTGTGTAGCTCAAACGGGGTTTTTAAGCTGCGCGGGCATATTTTACTATTGGAAATAGGGGCGGGGACACGAAATGTCGAGTAGAAATTTTCAGCATCTCAAGTGTTGGGCCCCAATCCAGACATCGTCATTATGATTGTTAGAAATTGTGCACTCGCTTGCTTTGAAGTGTTTAAACGTACTCGAAAATTCTGTTAAGTTATAAGAAAGGCGGAAGAGTTAGCGCTGCTCTGGGCAGATTAATAAGCTAGAACGCAGCGGTGCAGAAAGGTATACATATTTCAGACGATACCGGTGTATGTGCATACTATTGACTTTGGGAACAGTACAATTCTACGCAATGCATATGAGTGGCATGAGTTATCATTCGTTTGTCTGCCTCCCTAAACGCGCGCAAAGAGTATGCGAAAGATATTGAGAGACTTATAAATGAGAGCCTTGCTTGAGTTTCTAATAATCAGCCGACACAGCTGCCAGAACCGTCTCAGCTGGCACGGAAGGAACGAAATATACGTTATCTTTCGCATAAGCTTTCAATTTTTGAAACATGAATATCTCTTGAAGTGTTCATACCGTCGCAA